GAGCCGCGGACTCTTGGTTCCGCGCTCCCTGCGACCCCCCCTGCAGCCCGCGCCCCTGTCCCCGCCGCGCGCGTCTCCACGGCCCTTGGCCCCCGCGGCCTCGCCCCGCGGCCTGCACACCCCGCATGCCGCGGGGCCGCCCTCTTTGTCCGTGCCTCTTTTATTCTTTTCCCAGCGGGTTCTGGGGCTCAGGGCGGATTCGGGATGGCAAGGCTGCAGGAGGAAGGGCTGAGCCGGGTGGCTCTTCCGGCCTTGCAGGGCCGGGCCAGGTGATGCAGGGTCAGGATGGGCAGACAGCGGGGCGTGTCCGGGCTCCGTGGACGAGCCGCCGGGACTCAGCCTCACTCTGGGCAGGGCGTGCTGCTGGTCCGCGGGTCACAGTGGACCCTCAGCCAGGGCTCTGGGCGGTGCTAGACCTCAGTCTCAGTTCCTAGCTGTGGGGAAACCTTACTTTGCCTCAGTTTCCCCATGTATAAACTACAGCTCACCCTAGTTCTGCCTCCTAAGATTGAAGTAAAGCGAGGCCGTAGGAACAAAGCACTCAGCTTTTCCGGAACGTCAGCTCAGTACAAATAGCGGTAGCTGACCCCAGACCTGGGATAATAATCCTGGCTGGTGGCTAAGGTGTAATGAGCAGTTGTGAAAACGCTGTTCTGAGTGCTTTTTATGTTATCACTTCATCTGATTCTTTGTAGTCTGGAACTGTTAGTCCCTTTTACAGGTGGTAGGGAAAGGGCAGAGTGATGTAACTTTACCCAAGACGCGCCACTCCCAAGTGGGGTGCTGGATTCCAACCTACGCAGTAGTTAGTGTGGTCTTGCTCACTGTGGGAATAGGCCAGGAGCACAGAGTTCAATGCGATATTTTATTTTTATAATTTTTGATTTTGTGTGTTTGTGTGGGGGTATGCAAGTAAGACCAAGTGTCTGTGGAGGACAGCTTGATCCCCCTGAAACTGGAGGTGTGAGTTGCCTGATGTGGGTGCTGGTAACCACTTGGGTCCTCTGGATGAGCAGTATATGCGCTTAACCCCTGAGCCATCTCTCCAGCCTTCTGGTGCTTTGTTTTTAAGAGTGTGTGTGTGTGTGTGTGTGTGTGTGTGTGTGTGCGCGTGCGCGCGCGTGTGCGTGTGATATGCATAGGTTTGGTCACCTCTGTGTAAGTGTGGAGGCCAAAGGTCACAGCCAAGTGTCTTCCTCTATTGCTGTCCGCTGTCCACCTTATCGTCATCATCATCTGATCTTTCTGAGACAGGGTCTCCCTGTAGCCCTAGATAGCCTGAACTTGATATGTAGACCAGGCTGGCCTCCATCTCTTGTCTTCTAAGTGCTGGGACTAAGGGCAGGTGCCACCACATCTGGCTTCCACCTCTTTTTAGAAAGGATCTCCCACTGAACCTGCAGCTCTTTAGCCTGGACAGGCTGGCCACCAGGATCCTCCTGCCCATGTCCCTCCTCCACCCCCCAAGTGCAGGGGTTATAGACACTTGCTACAGTGCCTGGCTTCTACATGGGTGCTGGGGATCTGAACTCAGTTCTATGTGGGCATAGCAAGTGCTTAACTAGCTATGTCATCTTCTGAGTCTAAAGTATTTTAAGTTTTACCTATTTTTATGTGTATGAGTGTTTTGTCTGCATGTAAGTGCACTCACGTCATGCAGTGCCTGTAGAAGTCAGAAGAGGGGTTCAGATCCCCTGGAACTGAAGTTATAACTGATTGTGAGCCACCATGTAGGTGCTGGGAACTGAACCCTGGTCCTCTGCAAGAGTAGCCAGTGCTGTTAACTACTGAGCCATCACTCCAGCCCCCCCAAGTGGATTTAAAAGAAATTTATGTGTGTAAATGTTTTCCCTGCATATATGTAAGTGTACCATGTGTGTGCCTGAGGCCTGTGGAAGACAGAAGACTGGAGTTACAGACGATTGTGAGCCACCTTGCGAGTGCTGAGAACTGAACCCAGATCCTCTGGAAGAGCAACCATTGCTTTTAACCACTGAGCCATCTTCCAGCACTAAAGTGTGTGGATTTTTTTTTGTTCCTATATTGTTTTTATTGAGATAAAAGTCCATAACAAAATGTATCATTTTAGCCATTTTGAAGTAAACTTAGCACTTCCTATCTGAAATGCTGTGCAACCATCACTACTGATTCCAGATTATTTCCATTAACTCCCAGAGAAACTCTACCCCCAGTAGCTTGTGGGCCCCCCCAATTCTGTCCGTTTTCTGTCTCTGGATTTGCCTGTTGCAGACATTTCCCACAAATTGATCATATGCCATATGTTCTTTTGTGTTTGGCCTGTGCCTGTCAGTATCATGTTTTCATGCTGTGACACATGCCCCCCCCAAAGTGTTTTCTTTTTAGAGCTGAATAGTATCCCATTGTATGATGGGCAGGCCCCTTTTGTTTGCACATCTCTTGATTTGGCTGTCTTACCCTTTGGCTGATGGGAATAGGGCCAATAGGAGCACACGTTGCAGAGTTGTGATGCAAACAGGCATTTTCAGGTCTTCTGGGTGTGTGCCTAGGAGCAGGCTGCTGGTACCCTGATTGCTGCTGCCTAAGTGGAGACACAGATCTCAGAGGTCTTGGAATCCCAGCTTCCAGTTCTCCATTGTTCTTTTCCTTCCCCTCACTGCTGTTTAATCAAAAATCAGAATTGGCAGCTAAAGGTAAAGAGATTCCACAAAGTATTGGTAAGCAAAGTCCTTGAGGAGTGCTGATATAAAGTTGCAGTGCTCTTTCTCTTGAAGAGTGAAACTTGAGCTTTGAACAAACACAAAGCAGTATTTGATTCTATTTATTAAGTAAATATTGTATACACAGCAGTGTGCTGGTGCTGTGGGGTGATATTAAAGATGCACAGGTCCTGTTGGCCACTGTCAAAAAGGCCAGGAGGATTAGACCTAAGTCAGAAAAAATTCTAGAGAATACCAAGAGAAAATTTCATGACTTGGGGCGAAGGCAGAACATGAGATACAAGTTAAGAGCCCTACTCTGTAAAGGAGAGCTTGAGACAGCTGACACGTGGAAATCAGAGACACCCAGTTAATCGGTAGCCTTAGAAAGACACGAAACAGCACTCCTGTCTGGAATCTGTCAAGAATTCTAGTTCAGAGAGAAAACAGTCCAATAGGAAAAGATAGAAGGGTGGGAAGAGGTGTTTTCACAGATTCAAAACAGCAACACATACTGGTCAAAAGAGCCTCAATAATCAGAGAAATCGGAAAAGACATCTAGTGGCCCCCTTGGCTGTGGAGTTTTGGACTTCCTGGCAGGTGGCATCTGGGAGACAGTGTGAGTGCTTTCTGTGTACCGGTCTGTCACTGGAAAAGGCGTGGGCAAAGCGGAACGGAGCACTTGAGTGCTTTGTGGTCCAGTGATTCTACCACTGGTTGTATCCTTTCGAGAACATCCACCGGTGTCCATGAATGTGTGACAGACTTGTCCACACGTGTGTAGAACAGCTTGGGACTGGTGTATGGGGGTGTCACACACTGAAGCTGTGACCAGCAGGTGGAGGGGGTCTCCAGAACAGGGCAAAGCAGGTCAACACAGAACACTGGGGAGCTCTTGTGCACACAGGCAATACTAAGCAGCATTGCTAGTGTTTCAGAATAGAGATTGGGGCAATAACTTGCCGGTGTGGGGACGGGCACTGTGCTGCCAGCCCTGGGGAAGCTGAGGCAAGACCACAGGCTCAAGGCCAGTTTGGGGAGGGCAGGTCCTCCAGTGCGGAGCAGGGCGCAGGAGGCCCTGAGTGTGCAGGATGCTGCTTCTGTTGCTTGCGCTGGTGGCCAAGTGGGCGTTTAATTTTCCAGTTTTTTTTCTATTTTGGAAAAACTGGTTTTAGATAGTTCATACTCTCCGCAGGCCTACCTCCAGAAGAGACAAGTGAAACGTTAAATTCGAGGTGGAGCAGTATCTAGAAAGGGCCACATGGGTAGGAGGGGCAAGGCAGGTCTGGCTGGGTAAGGTTTGCCCCAAAGGCCAGCAGTGCCTGGGGTTGTTGGTAAATGCTGATCTTTGAACCGAGGAGAGGGAGTGGATGGGAGCTGGCCTCAGAAGGTCAGATGGGATTTGGGGTACTGTGTGCAAGGCAGACTCAGTGAAGACGCCGGAGCCCTAGTAAAGGGGTGCACCCTGTGACCGGGGTGGCAAAGGCCTGTGGAACCACCCTTAGTCCAGGAGCAGAGGAGCCTGGGAGGGACTACCTGCTTCCTGAAATGTGGTTGTGGTTGAGGGCATGGTGCAGAATCTTCAGCTTGTCCTGGTAAAGCCAGACCAACAGGTTAGTCATCTTCCATCCCTTCTTCCCAGCATCCATCCCTCTGTCCACCTGTCTGTTCCTTTCCAACATCTGACCACCTGTCTGTCCCTTCTTCCTGGTATTCCCTCATCTACCTATCCATCCCCTTTTCCTGACATCTGTCTCCTTCCACTTCTCCATCCCTTCTTCCCAGCACCTGTCCCTCTGTCCACCTGTCCATCGCTCCCCTACCCCATATCCATCCCTCTGTCCACCTGTCCATCGCTCCCCTACCCCATATCCATCCCTCTGTCCACCTGTCCATCGCTCCCCTACCCCATATCCATCCCTCTGTCCACCTGTCCATCGCTCCCCTACCCCATATCCATCCCTCTGTCCACCTGTTCTTTGTTATAGTCACGACTATAGCAGTGACTTGACACATAATTGTTAACTTTTCGTTCTTCAGAGCAGAGATAAAAATCCAACTCATTGTGCTGAAGTCAAAGTCCCCATCAGAGCAGGGTTCTTGAGGCCACAGGGACAGCTGTCCCTATCTTTGCTGACTCCTAGAGCCACTCACATCACCCAGTGATGGCCGTCTCTGTCTTTAGACCCTGTGGGGATGACACTTCCTGAATTTCTGCTCCTGAGGTCCCA